CACAATTAATCAAGGCAATATATATATATATATATATTTTCTTTTGGAATAATGACTTTAAATCGCTACCGTATAAGTATTATAAGTATTATATACTAATTATAAGTATTTTGAGTTAAATTTTATTAACATTTTGCTTATTGACGTGGCTGAAGATATAAATTTAGAACTATGAATCTTTATATATTTCTTCCTGATTTAATGAGAATAATTGGTAACTTTTCCGTTTTACCACTAAACGATTTAAGATTAACTCTAACTAGACATTCTATTTTTCGCAAAAAAAAAAAAAAAAAAAAAAAAAATTAGTATTTACATCTCTTTAAGAAATTAAATTTTTAAATGAATGAAACGCCCCACGATTGATAATTAAAGCCACGTTAAGATAAAAAGCAAAAATTAAACTTTCTATTTAAAGAACAATGTTAAATCGAAGAACAAAAGATACTTTAAAGAGGGAAATAGTTTTTACTGGTCATATTTATAAATATACTATGTAATATTCTATGTCATCACCTATAAAATATATAAAGGCATCAAAACTCATTTGATTGCAAGAAAACGGGGAATTGAAATTCAATTATTAGAAACTCCACCAAATTTGTTCTGGCAATCAAACTGTTTTTAATGCTTTCATTCCTCAATAAAGATCAGATAGATTTTTATTACCAAGAACAATAAAGGTTTGAAACAACATTGCTCAACAAACCAAGATTCACTGCTGGCTGTATCGTTTATAAAAGAAGAATGCATGTACGATTGTGACTTTTACTAGACAATTTTTGACATGAATTTCAATTTGGATTTGAATAATATACGTTAAAAGTTGTAAAAACGAAACACTCAGTATTATATAATTGAATATATGTAGTGGCCTCACAAAAATAAGCACGAGCAAAAATCTGCACTATGCTAATGTGACGCATGGTTGGTAGGGCGTTGGACTCGCGTTTGTGAAAACGGGAGTTGGGATCCAGCGACTGAAGAATCCCAGTGTATTAAATAGTGGAAGGTTCACGTTAAATCTGTCGGGATCACAAAGTCCCCCAAGTTCCCATAACAAATCAAAAACTCTTCAGGATTTCCTTTATCTTCTGGATTGGGTTCAAAGATACGGATTTTTGTTGGTCGTAAGTACCAAAAATCAGTATTGGTAGTCGTAAACTGAAATATGGGCAACGATGGTTATAAAATANGGTTCACGTTAAATCTGTCGGGATCACAAAGTCCCCCAAGTTCCCATAACAAATCAAAAACTCTTCAGGATTTCCTTTATCTTCTGGATTGGGTTCAAAGATACGGAGTTGATTTTTGTTGGTCGTAAGTACCAAAAATCAGTATTGGTAGTCATTGGTTGTCGTAAACTGAAATATGGGTAGAGCATTCAACGATGGTTATAAAATATCAAAAAAGAAATCTTGAAACAAAAGAAAATGATACTTTTCAATTTTACAATATTTTTATTTATTTTTTTATTTTCTATAAAAGAAAATTGACTAATATGAATTGTACACGCATTGTTTCCTTAAAGTCATGATGTACTTTTGGCTCGTCGCAGAGCAAAAGTAAACCATCACTTTACGGACACTCTGTATATGAACACTTTTAAAATAAAAAAGAATAAAATTTACATTGGGTCTTTGGGAAATATGTGCAATTGAGAATTTGAATAATATATATGCGTTTTATACGAAACTGAAGAATAATTAAGAAATAAATAAAAACAAAGGAGAATTTGAACACATAATCCCAAGAAACTGAAGCGTAAAGTGATATTTAATAGTGTAAAAATTTATTTTGCTTCAAAAACTTACGAAGTTGATAAAAGTCGACAAGCTCTTAGCACTCAAAAAATCCAACTCTTGCATGTGTCAAACAAAAGATTAATTTTAGCTTTTCTCTTTTGTCTCTGGTTTATTCTTTTGTTCTCTTGATTGATGTGGAGAAAATCTTAAAGATGGAGATGGGTGCCCATTTTTGACAGCTCAAAATATGCTGACTTTTTCCATCTTCGTAAGATTTTGTATCTCTTTATATAATTAAATATAATTGTTTCTTCTTCGAACTCGACAGTAGTTTAAAGCATAGTAAAGAAATGAACTTACTTTTACGGAGAGTTGTTCTATTGCTTTTTAATTCGATGTCTGAATGAAAGGAATGCTTCGGGACTGTTGTTATTAGGAGTAAAAAAAGAAGAACAGATCGCATCATGCATCCGACTCATGTGGAATGTTGTATCTGAAATGAATAAATATTATATAAATAAGTATGCTTTTTTAATGCTTTTTTATAAATAAATATGCTTTCTTAAATTCTACATCTAATGCTTATGAATCTTGTTACTTAGTTTTCGAGCTCAGTGAACCAATTCATAAGCTATATCTTTCTTTTGAAAATCGTTTTTCATTGAGAATAACCATTTTATTTGGCAAGAAAACGATCGGGTTTCAGCTTTATGAATTAGAAGCTGAAAGGTAAATTATCAACTCTAAATTTATTTAGAAACAAACACACAGATGAATAAACGAGAATAGTAAAAAATTAGTAAAATAATTTCTTCCATTATTTTTAGTAATTTAAGTTAAAATTGAGATTGAAATTGAATAAGTTGATATGGATAATTACTATGTAACATTAATTTGTATTTGACAAGAAACAACATTAACCCATTTAAAAATGATTTTGATGAGTTACAACTTTTATTTTTTAAACATAAAACTCTTAAATATTTTTCAAAATATTTTATTTTTCATAATTTTTTCTTCTTCTTTTCTTATTAAACCATTACTATATTTTTGCGAAGTCTTCTCTTCATTTTTGACTTATTTTAGGCTATACGTGCAACTTATGAAACATACTATTTTTTTAAATTTCCATATTATTTTTTAAATTTTCTTCGTTTTCTTACTCTTTATGATGCTATGATGCTATGATGTTTATATATAAAT